ATCCAGGCTGAGGGCTGTCAGTACAGCAGTGGTGGTGGGAGCCTCTCCTGCCTCCTCAGCCGTGGTAAGGATGTCTGCAGCTTAGGGCTACTCCTCGCTGACAAGTGGACATGCCCTGAGGGCTGCCGGGCTGCCAGAAGGATGTCTGATTGCCATCTTAGGCCCAATCCCCCGGGGAGCAGGCCTCAGCCAGCAGGTGGTCATCCCCCAAGGGGTCCCAGACTGCGAGAGGGCACAGGCCAGTCTGAGGGACACCTCCCCCCCCCGCCCCAGTGCACAAATTTTTGTGCACCGGGCCTCTAGTCAATAATAATAAAAGCGCAACATGCTAATCAGACCGGACAGCCGAACGACCTTCCAGATGCAGGGGCTGCGAGGGCCAAACCCCTTGCACAAATTTCATGCATCGGGCCTCTAATATTAAAATAAGAAAACTTTCAAAATTGTGTTAGTATCCCAAGAAGCTACTGGTTGATACGTATTGTTGTCCGCTCTTTCACATGGAAAAGTAGCCAAAAGTGTTCTGTTCTGTTCTGTTTTGTTTTGTTTTGAACTCACTTATCTCATCTTCACACTGAGCCCATTTCTCAGTGAATTATATTCTCTCGTGTGGCCTCAAATCCGCTGTGATTTTATTATGCGTGCACAAAAGGAGACACTTTACCCAATTAGAGCATCTTAATTAAAATTAGTACCGACATACCATTGGCAGCCCTGGTGATCCAAACACAAGCACAGGACCAGTCAGTGTGCTCCCTCCCCTGCTCAGCTCCCGCCTCAGGAACAGACTACGATCGCCATGGGGGTTCGGTCCAGGGTCCGCTCTGTCCACTGAAGCGAAGCACAGAAAAGAGGGAGCAGGCAGGAAGGCACTAGAGGCCAAAGGTTTTAAGCACATTTATTTAAAAAATTATAAAATCTGAAAATATTCCTGAAGCAAATATGACATAATGTCCTTGGTAAGGAAAAGACCAGCTTTTGGGGAGAATGTTTGGGGAAGTGTGATGTTTACAAAAAGTGGGGGACACTGCAGGGGAACCCAGCAGAGAGAGGAGACTGGCTGTGTGAGCTTGTGCTCACTGCTGGGGAGCTCAGCGGCTTCTGGAGACGGAGCAACCTCTGCAGGAGCAGGCGCTGCGCCCGCCCCGGGCCCCCAGAAAACAAACACTTGAAAGCTTCTAACATTCCTGGCGGTCACCTCGTTGTCTGAAGACCTTCCTTACCTGTCCATCCCCTCGTGTCCCAGAGGGAAGGGGCGGAATGCGGGTGTGCCTCACAGCTGAGCAGTCATCACTGGACTCGTTCGTTCCTAGACTCCACCTCCAGGTCTGCAGGCCCGAAGCTGCCAGGCCTGCGATGTTTGGGTGTCAGTTGCAGACAATTGCACAGTGATTTAGGCTGGGCCTGCCTTTGAGTAAATCCTAGCAGAAGAATAAGGTTCATCTTGCTTGCATTGCCTCTGCTTTGCCTGGCAAATAATTGTGTCCAATGTTGTCCCTGCAGTCTCTCCGGGCCTGGATGGTGGCCTTCGGGTGCTTTGAAAATAAAAGGACGAGAGGAGTAGACTTGACGGGAATGCGTACAGATTGCAGACTTTCTCCCAAACTGAACTCTGAAAGCGGGTCTGGTCCTGGAGGCGGAGGCCAAGGCAGACGGCAGCCCGAGGCGGCTGATGGACTTGCTCTGACCTCCTGCTCTCCGCTCCCTCCGCTGCCTGAGGCTCTCTTGTACCTACAGCTTTGTTGCTCCCCTCCCTCCCCGCCCAGTGACTCCTCACTGCCTGCCTCAGGACAGACGTTTACCACTTTGTGCCTGTCACACGAAAAGCACCTACAGGAAAGCGTTGTTTAAGTCACTGCTTGAATGGATACGTGTGTTTAAATCAGATTCCTAGCGTGTTTTAAAAATCTACTGTACTTCTCGGCTTCTAACCATTAGATTCCATCAAAAATCTGAAAGATAGATTTCTTCCTTCTAGATCATTTTTACAATAACATTTTACAGTAACAAGTTAGCCAATTTCAGAATCTGTGTGAATAAATGCCTCTAGAAACTCAAGCCTATCGCCTGTCATTCAACACCCTCTCCTGAGCTGGGTGGTGCCGAGGGAGGAGAGGTCGCTGTGTGTGGTGGGCAACAGTCACCGCGCATCCAGCAGCTCGTGTCAGGCATAGATAGTGCTCTCCACTGAACACGCGTTTTCCCCTCGTCGTCCTCACAGCCCTACGGTGGGCACCAGGGCTCTGCCCATGCAGGGGTCAGAAGAGATAAAGGAGAAAGTCCAACCCATGTCTGATTCTTTAGGAAAGCTGTGGGGGAGGGGCGGGAGAGGCAGAGGAAGGATTCTGAACTTAGAAACATTTTCCGTTGATTCTTCCCTATGTTCTACTAAGTCTGTTTTTATTTTCTTGCTCTGGGATCTCACAACTCATTTTTGAACGAACGCTCAGCAAAGGGTTAGCTTCACAGTGAACATCTGGCAGGGGCAGAGCACCTCTCGGTTGTCTAGATGAGCGGAAGTGGCCTTCTGAACCCCACCCGCCCCCATCCCCACCTGCGTCCTGCTCTTCAGGTCTCCACTAAAGCAGTCTGCTTCTTATGCTTTTTCTTTAAAAAACAAACAAACATGTGGTTGATGTGCCAAGTCCTGCAGTTCTCAAGCGTTTCCATGATGTCCTCTTTCGGGGCTTTCTAACAAGAGCAGCCTGTGGTTTCAGCCTGGAGCCGGAAGAGCTGAGACGCAGGCAGACCCCGAACGCTGCGCCTTTCCCCTTGAGCTGCACATAAAGGACACGCAGCGGTTTCACGCATGTTTTGAGGAAGAAGCCGTTGGAATGTTTGTTTTTCGGCTCTGGCAGAGTGTGCCGGCCAGAGAGAGGGCTGTGTGAGGCAGGTGGCCTGGGCTGAGGGCAGGCAGCGGCCCCTGGCCGGGCTGGTGAGCGCACGCGAAGCCCTGCGGAGAGCGCGTGTGGCCTGAGCCCTGCGTGCGGGGCGGGGAGACCCGTCCCTCCTGCGTGCGCCCCTCCTGCATGCGCCCCTCCCGTGTGCGTATCAGTGCAAACAGCAGGAGATCGGTGCACGGGGTTGAGGATGGTCGTGACGTGGTAGTGTTAGTACCCTCTTTCATTCTGTCTCCACACAGGTAATCATACACCCACATACATACATAGATACATGCATGTGCGTGTGCTGATAAAGGCATTGATCTCGTTTCTGCTGGGGTGTGGCCTTGAGTCCAGGAGGCATCAGGAGGGGCACCTGGCTGCCCTGCTCTCCTTGGCACCTAGAAAGGCCTCACAGCAGTGCTCTTTGACTTGCTTCCTGCAGACGCCCCTCTACCTGGTGAACCACGGGGAGGCGGGGCCCGTGCGCTGCAACCGCTGCAAAGCCTACATGTGCCCCTTCATGCAGTTCATCGAGGGCGGCCGGCGCTTCCAGTGCGGCTTCTGCAGCTGCGTGAACGAAGGTGAGTGCCAACGTGTGAACGAAGTGAATTCCAAAAACTGGGAATTCCGCACCGTACACCCCAACACGGCTGCTCGGAGCCCCCCGGCTCAGTGTCGCCAAGTGGCCGCCAAGGCCTCCCGCGCACTAGCTCAGCCGCGACGCCCTCCCTCGTCCCGCATCTTTGCAGACATTGGCTCCCCACATTCCCAGACCCACGTGCGCACAGGAACCTGTAAACTCTCTAAAACAAAATGGCCGTTATGCAGCAGGGAAGTAGGAAAGGCAGGCCTCAGAGGTTATTTTTAAGTCCAACCCGTGCAATCCCATTGCAGTCCACATGGTAGTTCACACCTGGAAGCTGCACTGAGCTGCTGGTCTAAAACAGAAGGCACCGCCACCTCTGTGGGTTCACAGGAGGAGTCAGTGGGCATGGGGGGTCCTGGCGCTTCTAGCCAGCACTTGCACTCCAGCCCACCGTCTCGGAGCAGGGCTCGCTGCCCAGATGCCAGGCCATATTTGTGCAGGCGCTCGGGGACTCCTGGCTCTCCGGCTGCTGGACGGCCTCCAGGCCCTCGCCAGCGCGAGCCCCTCTGCCATTCGAGCCGAAGCCAGAGTCCTGAGATGGGAGCGCGGCCTTTCCCTAATACAGTCATCGCCGCCCCGCGGCCCAAGCAGGAAGGTGGCCGTGCGCACCCCGCGCGGAGGCACCCTCGTTACAGGGTAACAAATACTGTAGCTCACAGTCCAGTCCCAGTGACCACCCGCTTCTGTTAGGTGTGCTGAAAGCTGACATAGTTAGAAAGCCAGCACTACTTTTCAAAAGGCCATGAAGGAGGGACAGCTGGGCCTTGGCCGTGACCATGAGAGCAGTGCCTGCATGCCGTTTCTCTCCAGTGTCCCCATCCCAACTGTTCCTTGTCGTCAGCAACTGGTAGGAGGTCAGGAGGGGTGTTTTAGAAACGCTTTTAAATGTGGGTCTTTAGAATATATTACATTCCAGCTTCAAATACTTGTCCCCTCCTACTAGCTCTGTTCCTCCCACAATAAATTCTGAGAACTTACTACATTGTCTGTTATAAAAACAAAAGACTTCCTTTCCCTTTTTGTTTTGTTAGTCCCGCCGTTCTACTTCCAGCATCTGGACCACGTCGGCCGGCGGCTGGACCACGGCGAGAGGCCGGAGCTGTCGCTGGGGTCCTACGAGTACGTGGCCACGTTGGATTACTGCAGAGTGAGTGTCCCGACGCCAGTGTTCACACGCGTGTCCAGTCCACGTGAATGACCTTCACGTGCGAAGAACTGACAAAGCATGCGGTGCCACGGGCGCAGAGCACGCGGAGGTAGCAGCACACACTGCACACACACTGCTTTCCATGTCTGGTGCGTTTTATAAAACGACCACTGCAGTGCGTGCTGCTACCTCCGCGTGCTTCATGCTGTGTCCCCTCCAGGCAGAGCATGCGGGTCCCAGTGCCGCCTCCCTCTTTGCTGTGTCATCTCACGCCATAGTCCTCACTTCCAGGCGCAGGCCCGCAGGGTAGGCTGCAAACAGGGACATGTTTCTGGGCTCCCGTCTCTGTGTCCCCACGAGAGCAAGAGAGCGACGGCCCTCAGAGCCCCGACTCTCAGCAGCTGGGGATCCCGGCCTTGGAATGTGGCCCTTCGGCTCCCCCACTTCTTAATCTAAGGCATTAAGTTGAGGGATGTAAGCTTCCTTATAAGACCACTGATGGCCGGGCCCAGACTGCCACCCGCGCTGTCCTCACTTTACAGACTGGACCTGCTCTGATCCGCCCCCTTGGAGGCTCTGTGCTTTGTACACGGTCATCCTTCCGTTAGAGACGCCCCCCCCCCGCCCCGCCCCGCTTCCTCCCGGGCACCTGGCCGGGCTTTTGTTTATGTGTGTGTGTGTGTGTGTGCGTGTGTGTGCGCGCGCGCGCGTGCGCGCACAACAACTATCTCTGAGGTCATCATGGTGGCCGTTCACTAAATCTTCTGTTGTGCTGTTGTTTTCATAGAACTTGGTCTGTGTGTTTTAGCAGTGACCCTGTGGGTTTTAGATCTGTGTCTTCCCTCTTCATAGGTTCCGATCTCCCTGGGGACAGGAATCTTGTCCCAGCTAACTTTGTGGTCGGCCCCGGTGTCTGGCACAGGCAGGCTGTGGCCCAGGGGTGGGATGAGCGAGTGAGCGACTCTGCAGGTGCGTGCCTGTTCCCAGGGCTGCTGTGTCCCTTCTTGGGGCGCAGTGATGGTGGCATCAGCATGGGCACCTGGCAGGGCTGGAAAGTTCTGGGTGACTTGAAGTTTTCTTGTGACCAGTTCAGGTTTCAGCGTGTGTGTGCAGTGCCACGTGTGCACCTGAAGAAGCAGCCCCTGACCACTCCCTGCCCCCCTTCCAGAGAGGGCAGCGCGCAGGCCGGGGCGAGAGAGCCTCTGAGCTGAGCGCTGCCGAGGGTTCGCAGGCCCCATCCGCTCAGTGCAGATACAAAGCACATTTTCCAGCTGGAAGCTTTTCAGCTGCTTGGATTTCAACATGTTTTTAATTTAACGTTTGCATTTGTTTTAGTGTTTTGTCTGGGTTGTTTTTCTACAGCACATAGAACTGGTTATAAAAGGTTAACGCTTTATTAGTTCAGAATGTGCCACTTGAACATGGTTTGGGAATGTAAGAACATTCTCGGTACAAATGCTTTATTTCAGGCAGAAAACGTGTCCTAAAGCATCAGCCGCCTTGGGGGAGTTTGCTTTCGGCGCTGTTGACGGGAGGGTGCTGGGCGGACATAACGTCCTAATGAAATGTGATGAAGCCGTCAGGACTCGGGGGCAGGATTTACTCGCTGATCTTTGGAACCGAGCATAAATCTGACTCTGTCTGTGTCCCCAGGTCTCTGCCAGCAAGGCCACAGTATCTTGATTTTATGCTTTTTTAGTAGAAACTAAGCAGAGAGTCAGATCTATTTCTGGGAACAGATGTCTGACCGGTGGGAAATGTCCGCCACAGGCAAGGGACCGAACAGAAACGGGGCGTCTGGAAGAGTCGGTGTGAGCTTAGTCTTCCTCTTATTATTCCAAGTGAGGCTCAGGAGAGAAGAGGCCGTAAGTGCTTTCCTGTTTAATTGTAACTTAAATGTACATTAAGTATCACCGTGAGCTGCTTTACAGATTTGGATGATGGGAAAGAGCTTATTTTATTTATATGTGTGTGTTTTAACGTGTAGAACTTAAAGGGGAATTGCAAGCTCACATTTCCCTATTCACTTTAGTTTAGTTAATACCAATTTACAATTATTTCACATTAACTACGTGCGATGCTGTGCTCCGTGCTCTCTGTTCTGTGTGACCTCCTCACGGGGACCCTGCGATGAGCACAGCGTTGCCGGGGAAATGGAGGCTGCAGTGTAAGTACCAACGTGGGTCACACGTACAGAGTGACGTGGCCGGACCACAGAGGCCTGTCCCCTCTCAGGCTCTGCAGAGTGCGGACGGGTCTTCACAGGCCGACCATGAAGCCCCTGGAGAGGCCCCGCGCTGCCACGTGACGGACAGCCTGTAGGAGTTGACGGGCCGTGTCTGCATGTAAAGTGCCTGAAATTAAACGCTCATTCCAAGCCAGCCTTCATTTCTAAAGGAAAACATCGTTTTCCTCTTCGTTTTACTTCACTTGGACATTCCTTTGGACGCCTCACGTGGCTCTGTGCTGTGAGAGACCAAAACTAGCCAGATAACGAACCTGATGTCAAGGTACTCGCCCCGCGTAGGCCTGGCCAACCAGATACAAGTGCTGCACATGCTGCAGGTCGCACAGCCAGGTGCCTAGGAACACGCACCCAGGCACTCAGGGTGGGAGCCAGGGCGGGGCTTGAAGGAGCGGCCTGGAGTGGGTGTGGCCAGGTGCGTATTCTCCGCTTTCTCGGCTTTCCTGGGGCTGCGAGGCCTGTGGGTGCGCCCGGGGGCCTAGGGCGGGGCCTGGCGGAATTGGACAGTATATCCCCAATCTTGGGCGCTCCAAAACACAAAGTAAAATATTTTTAAAACACTTTGCCAAACAAAACACTTTTCTGGCCAGGCCCTCGGCCCAGGCCCCGAGGCTGTGGCTTCTGGGTAGGAGGTGCTTTGAATGGCACGCACTGAGGCTGCTGGAGGAACGTGGGGAGACACTGAGGGGAGCTGGGGTGCGCACACAGGCCCTCCTGTTGTCGCTGGGCTCCGCCTCCCTGCTCTGGTCTCCCGGGTTTACATGTCTGATAAGTGGCATCTGAAATGCCAGCAACTGAAGGATGTTACGTCACCAGGCCGTGAGCACAAGTGCAGGGAAGGAGGGAGCGCCCCCTCCGGCCTCCCGCACACTCGCCTGCACACTGGTTCGCTGATCCCGGGACTGACCCTGGGTTTTGTGCTGGGCCCTCGGCCTCCGGCAGCAGCACTACGCCCTGCACTGAGCCTCCGCAGGCTCCACAGCGAGAGGAGGGGTTGGAGGCGGGAGGGTTAGACGTCTGCGGGAGTGAGGAGGGTAGGGGGCGTGGAGAGGGTTCCTCAAAACGTGAAAGCAAGCACCTGTGTGGCCCAGCAGCTGCGCTCTGGGTGCGCCTCCCACAGGAAGGAGCAGGGTCTCCCTGCGGCACTGCACCCCCGTTCACAGGTGGGGGCGCGCCCCAGTGTCCATTGTGAATAGATGAACAGCCCGTGGACACCCATACGATGGCATATCATTTGCCTTAAAGAGAGGAAGCTCGGACACGTGCTACCACACGGATGAATGCTAAGGGCTTTGTGCGAAGTGAAGGGAGCCAGTCCCATAAGAGACAAACACTGTGACTCTGCTTATGCACAGCGCCTAGAGCAGTTGGCTCCCTGGAGGCAGGCGTGGGGGGGTGGGCTGGAGCCTGCCAGGGGCAGGAGGGAGGGCGGTGAGAGTGACTGCTGAGGGCGCAGGCTGTTCTGCAGGGTAAAGCCGTCTAGACTTGGTGGTGGCCGCACAGCAGTGTGCATGCACTTCACACCACGACCTGTGACGGTGCGTGTCGTGCATGGGCATTTGACTCCAGCTTAAGGTCATATAAGAGAGACGCTGAGGTCTGTGTGCGGGGCCTGGACCGGAGGCACAGAGGCTTCGCAGTGGACGGTGTGGGTGGCCAGGGAGGTGACAGAGCCATCAGGAGAGATTTCAAGATGGTTTCAGGCGATCAGTGTTCTGTAAGTTCTCACAGAAAAGGCCAGGACAGTGGGAGACTTGGTGTGAACGGCTAGCATTCGAGTGTCAGGTGCTGGGACCAGCAGGTGGTGCTGCGCTTTGGTCGATCAGATGCCAGCCTGGAGCTCAGAGGAGCCCCTTACGAGAGAAGATGGGGAGTCGCCTGCATGGAGGTGCGGGTTCCAACTGAGTGAGTGGAAGAGGTTTCTGTGGTGGGGCTGTGGGAAGGGAGAGAAGAGGGGCTTTTTAGAGAAAGAGAAGGGGGTGAGAAACACAAGCCACATTCCGGAAGCAGGGAGGAGGGGACAGCGTGGTGTTTGGTGGCTACAAACCTGAGTGTGGCCTGCCGAGCCTACAAGTGCAGACATTCAGGAGGAGGCTGGGTCTGTTCCAAGTCACAGACCCAGGAAGCAGTGACCTCTGAGAGCGGTAAGTGCAGTGTCATGGAGTGAGGTGTGGTGGAGGGCGGGGTCAGGGAGGGTGTCATGGAGGGCGGTGTCATTTAGAGCCATGTTTGCACCGAGGTCAGACATGAGCTTGGCTGGGCGAAGCAGCTGGATTGAGTGGGTAGAGCAATGGGTTAAGGAAGCCAGCGATGAAGTCATTACAGTTTCTGGGCACAAGATGACAGAGTTGGGTGGGGAAGCGTAGGGATGCGTGAAGCGTGAAAGGAGCGTTTTGAAAGAATTAGCCCGTGGGACTCGGTGATGGGAAGGAAGGGAATAGTCAGATCTAAGCCACGTCTCAAGCTTGGGTTGGTGTGTGGTGATGTTATTGATAGAGAAAGAGGCGTGGGAAGAGAATGTCACTTACAGGAGCGATGAATTAGCTCTGCACACACAGGACACGAGCTACAGAAAGCTTTCCGTAGGAACGTGTTCGGTGGCGCCATGGAGATGCTGGGCCAGGCCGGGTGGGGGCACGGAGGCGTTCTAGTTTAACTGATGGGAATGACCATTTTCTTCCATATGCATCCGCATAGGTCTGTGTCCGAGGCAGAGCAGGTGGAGCCAGGAGTGATGTGCACTAAATGCTCACGTGCAGAGCAGATTTCGTTCACTTGTTTGTTGGTCTGATTTTGGTTCTGCCAAAGGATGGAGGCTTTCAGGTTCATGATTTTTTTAAGTCCTGTTACTTTTTTCTTATTTATTTCTTTTTTATTGATTGATTAATTTTAGAGAGGGAAGGGGAGAGAGGAACGTTGATTTGTTGTTCCACATATTTCTGCATTCGTTGGTTGATTCTTTTTTAAAAATATATATTTTATTGATTTTTTTACAGAGAGGAAGGGAGAGAGTTAGAAACATCGATGAGAGAGAAACATCGATCAGCCGCCTCCTGCACACCCCCTACTGGGGATGTGCCCGCAACCCAGGTACATGCCCCTGACCAGAATCGACCCCGGGACCCTTCAGTCCGTAGGCCGACGCTCTATCCACCGAGCCACACCGGCCAGGGCGTTGGTTGATTCTTACCTGTGCCCTGACCTGGGATGGGACCCGCAACCTGGCCAATCTGGACGCTCTAACCAACAGAGCTGCCCCACCGGGGCCTTTTCCTCTGACTTCAAATGAAGAACTTTTACTCGAAGAATGTATATCTAGCCTGTAGTGCTGACAGAATGAATCAGTAAGATAACCTATAGTAATAAAAGCACAATATGCTAATTAGACCGGACGTCCTCCGGATGTCCTTCCGGACGAAGCCAGGGCTGCAAGGGAAGCCCGGGTCCCGGGTGCCGAGGGAAGCCGGTGCCAGCAGCCAGGGGAAGGAAGGACTACTCTTGCATGAATTTCGTGCATCAGGCCTCCAGTATGGAGATATTATCATTAATTTTATAATTATAACAATTTAAGTACAATTTTTTAGACATTCCTATTATTTATTACTAGAAGCCCAGGGCGCCCGTGCTGGTCTTTGATAGTTAGGGCGTTAGGACCACAGGCCTTTTATAATATAGATAAAGTTAAAATGAAATTAGCCTTACCTCTTTATTTTTTCTGTTCGTGTGAGTCACTAAGTCGTTGCCTGTGGGTCTTTTCTAAATATTTGTGTAAGGTCGGCTGGCGTCAGCATCCCTTCCTCAGTGCTGGACCCCGGCCAGCCGAGGGGCCGCAGAGCGTCCGTGTGGCAGCTGCTCTGTGTTAAAGTGATTATTTGAAACAGAAAAGGCCACACCATCCATGCTTCATCATAAAGACGTTGGAAGTGGGCAGCATTTAACAATGTAGTTTAATTTTTAAGTACAATTAAGTTGAGAATGAAACTAATGCAATTTTACTGCAGATTCAAAGACAAGAACTAATTATCATGTGTCCTCTTTTCTGGCACCATTTGTGGGTTCATCTTCCCTGAGGCAGCTTGTCAACGAGTCCCCATCCCGCTCCCCTGGGCACTGGGAGCCAGAGCCGTCAGGTCTCGGGGCTCCCAGCAGGATGCTCCTCAGCATGTGGGGCTGACCGGGGTCGGGGCCTGGAGAGAAACAGCCTTTGCCGTGTTTAGCCTGAGACTGTGATGGTTTAGTCCCCGGCCACGGCCTGGGTCGTGAGTGAAATACCTGGTGGCCTCCGAGTGCTGTGTCATGTGACCGTCACTCTATAATCGTTTCTGTCATTTGCTTCCTGCAGAAGAACAAGCCTCCCAACCCTCCCGCCTTCATCTTCATGATCGACGTGTCCTACAGCAACATCAAGAGCGGGCTGGTGCGGCTCATCTGCGAAGAGCTGAAGACCGTGCTGGAGAGGCTGCCCAGGTAGGCGCCGGCCGCACGTGGAGTCGGCTCACAGGCTGGGGAAATTGGTGCGAGGGACCCTCCCATCTTTATAAGCTGGGTGGGTCCCGTGGGCGGGGAGCCATGGGAGCCTGCTGCTCATTCTCCTGGCGTAAACCAGCGGTTGCTGGGGGTGGTGAGAGCTCTCGGCCCAGGTTCCCTCGCCCTCCGATGGGCCTGTGGCTCTCCTGCCGCCAGGGCTGGTGCAGGGGAGTGGTGGCTGGTAGAGTGTGCAGACTCGGCTCGGGTGGGACTGGCCTGGTGAGAGGCTCGGAGCAGGCAGCCTCCCGTCACGTGTGGGAGACGCGCTCGGGACACAGGCTGGGTCCTCCTGCA